GGTCAACATAGAGAGGTGAGGTGGTCAACATAGATGGGTGAAGTGGTCAACATAGAGAGGTGAGGTGGTCAACATAGAGAGGTGAGGTGGTCAACATAGAGAGGTGAGGTGGTCAACATAGATGGGTGAAGTGGTCAACATAGAGAGGTGAGGTGGTCAACATAGAGAGGTGAGGTGGTCAACATAGAGAGGTGAGGTGGTCAACATAGATGGGTGAAGTGGTCAACATAGAGAGGTGAGGTGGTCAACATAGAGAGGTGAGGTGGTCAACATAGAGAGGTGAGGTGGTCAACATAGAGAGGTGAGGTGGTCAACATAAAGAGGTGAGGTGGTCAACATAGAGAGGTGAGGTGGTCAACATAGAGAGGTGAGGTGGTCAACATAGATAGGTAAGGTGGCCAGCATAAAGAGGTGAAGTGGTCAACATAGAGAGGTGAGGTGGTCAACATAGAGAGGTGAGGTGGTCAACATAGAGAGGTGAGGTGGTCAACTTAGAGATGTGAAGTGGTCAACATAGAGGGGTGAGGTGGTCAACTTAGATAGGTAAGGTGGCCAGCATAAAGAGGTGAAGTGGTCAACGTAGAGAGGTGGGGTATTCAACATAGAGAGGTGAGGTATTCAACAAAGAGAGGTGGGGTATTCAACACAGGTGGGGTATTCAACATAGAGAGGTGAGGTGGTCAACATAGATAGGTGGGGTGGTCAACATAGATAGGTGGGGTATTCAACATAGATAGGTGGGTTGGTCAACATAGATAGGTGGGGTATTCAACATAGAGAGGTGAGGTGGTCAACATAGATAGGTGGGGTGGTCAACATAGAGAGGTGGGGTATTCAACATAGAGAGGTGAGGTGGTCAACATAGAGATGTGAGGTGGTCAACATAGAGAGGTGAGGTGGTCAACATAGAGAGGTGAGGTGGTCAACATAGAGAGGTGAGGTGGTCAACATAGATAGGTAAGGTGGCCAGCATAAAGAGGTGAAGTGGTCAACATAGAGAGGTGAGGTGGTCAACATAGATAGGTGGGGTGGTCAAAATAGATAGGTGGGGTATTCAACATAGATAGGTGGGGTGGTCAACATAGATAGGTGGGGTATTCAACATAGAGAGGTGAGGTGGTCAACATAGATAGGTGGGGTGGTCAACATAGATAGGTGGGGTGGTCAACATAGATAGGTGGGGTGGTCAACATAGATAGGTGAGGTGGTCAACATAGATAGGTGGGGTGGTCAACATAGATAGGTAAGGTGTCCAGCATAAAGAGGTGAAGTGGTCAACATAGAGAGGTGAGGTGTTCAACATTGAGAGGTGAGGTGGTCAACATAGAAGATTTGTCAGCTTTAGAAATTCTAATGTAGTTTAAATATATGACCTCTTTCAGCTTTTTTCCCTGGAGACGGTCGTGTTTAAATCCCAGCTGATCAGTCAGGGCTAGCTAGCTACATAGCCAAGTCGTTTACCTCGCACTCAGAAGGTCGTGAGATCCCTAGGGATTGTCCAAAGAGCTATGGAGGTCGTGCTCTGTTTGACGCTGTCGGCAGGCAGCTAGCTGTGCTGTAGAGAGAGAGAGAGAGAGAGAGAGAGAGAGAGAGAGAGAGAGAGAGAGAGGGTGGGGAGATTGAGTCATATGAGATAAAACCTCATGCAGTGAAGTCGATCCTCTCACCTTTACCTTACCTTATAGCCTCCCCTTCCACACCATTACCTCCCCTTGCCCACCCAGTCAAAACTCTCCCAACACTTCCCAAGATGGCTGCTTTCGTCTGCTGGTAGATGTGTTTTTCGTTCATCTAAGGTTTGTGCATGACTCATCGCCTCAGTATGTATTCACAATAACTAAACGTAGAATCTTAACCGACACTTCTGTCCTTCGTTCTCTGTTGTATGTTTGACAGACTTTTTAATTTTTTGGTGGCTAACTTCACTGTCTACTGCGATTCATCCACCTTTCTGCTTTCAGGTTTTTAAATTTTCTATTTTCTCAACTCACCACTATATCATAACCAACATATGGCAACAATATGTGCCACGAATCGCCAGCCTTAAAAAATGATACATGGAAAAGTAATTTAAACATATCAGTTAAGTGCAGTACTACGGACATTGAATCTATAATAACAATAATTCTGCCTGCAAAATCAAATGTCTTATTTTGTATCTCCATGCATTAGTAGTCAGCTGTTACCACTGTGAAAAAAAAAAAACGTTCAGGAATGCGGTTCCCCAGTGACCGTTGTTTATTGCCCTACCAAGCATTGCCTCTTTGTTTCTTCTCCTTTTTCTAAATTATTCTGGGCCAAAATCAGTTTTTTATTATCATACCCACTCACTCGGTTCTTATTTTTGCTAAGCATAAAAACATTATATTTTTATTGTAATTTCTTCGAGTAAAAACATTAGATAAAAGTAACAAATGCTTATTACAGCAGTTTCGAGTAAGCTGAGAGCTGCGATCCCCTCTTATTTTTGCAGGTCTGCCACTGAGGATTGCGTACCTTAAAAAAATGTGTGCATGCGCACGACACACGCGCATGTATATTGAAGACATTTTAATTTACAGAAAAGAGAATCACAACTACAAAAAAAAAAAAAAAAAAAAAAAATTACATTCTTGTTTTTCAAAGCATTCACCGACTGTTAACTCGGGCGGAAAGTTCTCGTTATTCTTAGTAAAGTCATATTAAAGACATTATAATTTACACATATTAGAGCCCACACTCTGATTTTCTTCTTCTTCTTCACGTTTAACGACTGTAAACTCAGGCAGAAAGTTATAATTGTGTGTCCATTTCTGGACTTTGACCTTGTTCCAGAACTTAAGTTTTGCATGCACATCCGTTTTACAGATCTGGCTCATTGGTATGCAATCTATGGATTCCTCGCCTCTCAGACAGAAGTACTCTGACTTCGAAGGAAGCACTTCTAAATATTTAACTTTTATAACATGGTGGGAGGGAGAGTGAGTCTATTTTCCTCAGAACCCACACGTTTAGATTACATTTCTCAAGTTGAGAGGATTTTTTATGTGTAAATGATATCAAAACCCCTTACATTTATTCTGCTAACCAGCATATGTCAAACACTTCCTTACGGTATAGTCAGTAAAAGTAACGTATGCCAAGTATTTAAGTAGTCTTCTTTCTTCATGTTCACCAGCTGTAAACTCTGGCAGAAAGTTCTGGTCATTTGTCCACCTCTGGACTTAAGGATTGACTGAGTAAGCAAGTAGATAGTTTGCAGTCTCCCGCTGAAGAGATTTTATCTTCCCATATAATGGACCTCCACAATCAAAATATTGCGAGCACAATGTGGCCGAGGCTGCCAGATTTATTGATCATCATCTAGCCCCAACATTGCACAACCACAATACACACTGCTCCCATGGAAAAAAAAACATAGTATCCTGCGTTGGAAACACGTACAAATAATGGTTCACAACAAGGCAATATAACAGTCTGAGAGGGATCACAGCCACTGAAAAAAATAACACAACCGCTCATTCTTCTTTTTCTTCACTTCCTCTTTTACCGCTGTGGGTGTCGAGGGAGATATAAGGTTCTGTTTCTGGCTCTTCTGGCCGCCTCGACCATAGGCACATCGTGCTGTTGTAGAGCTTCTCCGATGTTATCCTTCCATCTTGTTCTTGGTCTACCTCTTGCTCTACGACCTTCTTCTAATTTTGAACCGCTCATTGCCTTTTTGAAAATGGAAGTCATTTTATATATATACACTATTCTTCTTCTTCTTCTTTGCGTTGGGTTTCGTATGCTCAGATCAGACCATTGGGTGGGTGCCTCTGTGAACTCAAATTTCAGTAGCATGTTTTTCATGTCTTTTTAAAGCTGTAGGTAGAGTGGGCAGGTCTGCAGAATGTGTTGAGGAGTTTGTGGTCCTGTTTGACAGAGGCACATTGTTGGGACTATACAGTCTGTATTTAATGCATGTGGTAGTTGAGCCTGCAGTGTCCTGTTCGTAGACAGAAAATTGTTGTATGTTGCTTTCTGTTGAGTCTGCTGATGTGGTCTATACACTTTTGACATTTCAAATTTGAAGTCTGCAGATGGTCATGTTTCTGTCTTCATTATTCACTGAGGGGGAAAAATGTGGGGTAGTTCTTTCCTCATGCCCCTTGTACTAATAATCATGATATTTAATTGAGAAACACTGAGGTATTAGAAAGAGCAGGTATTACAACAGTCTTCTCAATGCTCAGTCTGCGAAGGCTCAGGTGGCTGGGTCACATGTCGGATGGCAGGGTCCCAAAGGATCTCCTCTGTGGTGAATACAAAATGATTAGAAGATGTCCATGCTGACCTTTACTAAGATATAAAGATGTGTGTAAATGGGACATGAATGATACAGTTATTGAGGAGAATTCGGAACAAAATGCCATGCACTGTGTTCTGTGGAGGGGACATATCAGGAAGGGAGTTAAAATAAAGGAAGAAATTATTCCAGAAAGGATGAGAACTGAGTGTCTGAGAAGACACAAACACATATGTTGACAACAATCGTCCTGAAATCATATGCTACAATTGTGGAGGACTTTTCTTAATGCAGAAAGGTGGGGGGGGGCAGGGGGGGGGGGGGGTGGGGGGGGGGGGGGGAGGGGTTGCACTGGCTATCGCCATGGGCTGTGAGTCCCATGCCTCCTCATAGAGCAGTATAACATGATCGTCTGGAAAGACAGAAAGGTGCCATTCATTTGGCTGAGAAATGTTTTAACATTATTTTGTCATGTTTTTAGTTGCTTTTGTTAATTAAAGGTATAACCATTCATTGAATGTATACTGTTCTGACTTGTTATGGTCGCCTGTTCCTTAAAATCTTTCCCATTTATTTTTCAGGGAAAGGAAGTGATGGTTTCGATCAGAAGAAAACTTCTTACAGCCACCAACTATTTCGGAAGTTTTTCTCAAAGTTAGTATATACCATAATATAACTTAGCCAGCCGCATCAGTTCGATTAGTCTTTGCCGAATCATCTTTGATAATTCAAAATGGCGGACGATCCTGGCCACAAAGCTATGTTGTATTTTCTGGAGATTCTTATGTACAGCAACGCTCCAATGACCATCAGCCAACTCGCTGGTCGTTTTGGAAGTCGCAACTTTACAGCGGAAATGAGACAGAGCTGTGGTGGCAATGAAGCTGGTCTCAAGAAGTTCCTTTTGAAGTATCCGTCCCTGTTTTCTGTGAATGGTAATCTTGTCAGCCTGAATGATGGGTCGGCCCTTGGTGGAAGTGTTAACGAAAACAACTCAACGACTTCGTCAAGCCACTCCTGTCTTCCTGATGTCTCAGTGGAAACAGAAGCGGTTCACTTCTTTAGAGCAAGGATGCTGAAGAAGGGAGACAAATGGATGCCGGTGAGGAGCTTGGCAGGGCATTTGTCACAAGCTTCTGCTGAGATTAGAGAGTGTGTGGGACCACAGAATGAGTTCCTTAATTTTCTACTGAAACACCCACTGATTTTTGAGGTCATTGATGATAACGTATCCCTAAAAGAAAACATTCGTTGCAACGCTGCTGACAGTGACTCCTCTTCTGAGCCACCTTCTCTACCCCCAACCACTCCGAAAATGAAACGTCACGCAAAACCTCAGGATATGGTTGAAGCACCTAAACCATCTGGAGGTCGCACAGTGACAGTAGCACCACTTCCACTTTCCGTACAGACAACAAAAGCTGGGCCTATCACAATGACAGCCAACGAATACAAAGCTGTGATGTTTATCAAGAGCATCATCTTGAAGAAAGGAGACATGAAAGTCAACAGCCTCTCTGGACATTTTAGCCAAGCCCCAGACAGTCTTCGCAACACCATTGGGTGGAGCAAGCCCGAACTACACCAGTTTATCTCTGCACATGATAACATCTTTACTATCGGCGAGGACGAAGTAGTTTCGGTGATTAAAAATACCCGACTGAACGTCATCATTACAGGAAGCCGCCCAAATATCCAGACTAAGCCATCGGTAACTGCAGGCAAGGGTCAGATATTCCACGTGGCCAAACTGTGGGGCATAATTGACTTAGGGATGCATGAGCATGTCTTTATTGACAGGACCATTTTTGGTAAGAGCATTGATGATCTCAACAAACTTCTCAAAATTGGGGAGTGGGTGTATTTTGATGCCATCCCTGCTCCAAAAGGCAGCCGGGCTCGCTGGAGAGCTACCAAAGTGTGGAAGGAGAATGAATCCATTGAAGATTTGATTGAGAAAGTGGCTGCCAAGCTTGACCTTCCAATTGACGGAATCCCACGAGAGCCCCAGATCCCTCTCGGCAACATGAATGACGAAATCAGAAAGATCTACCCAGACTTAGACGACAGCACATTCTCCAGCTCCACACGCGTTAATATTGGCGGAATAAAATACTCCTTCCAGGACGCTGCTCCGAGTGGAGCGGGTGTAGTGCCTGTGTGGAATTTTCACCATGTGGAATTGGAAGGCATGAAAGATGTTGATGAATTAAACTTCAGTGATGATGAAGGCGATTTGTCTCCGCAAGTATCCATGGTTGCCGAGCGACAGTTCATGAATAGATCTGTATTGTTGGACAGCAAGACGATAGCTAAAAATGGCAGCACCTCTCCAAACATTAATGGTGACGACTCGACAGACAGTGTGAAAAATAATATTGATTCTGGAAGTCAGAAAAAATATGCCACTATTGGTTGTCAGACGATAGTTACAGGCGATGTCCTGGCCACACAGCTTTTTCACGAAGATTTGTAGTTTGGACATTTTTATCCACTTTGAAGGTTTTACAACAATTTTTATGTAAACAAGGATCTATTTTTTGGTAACCAAGGATCCTGTCTCATAACTACAGATCCATTTTCATTACTATGGGTGGTGTTTAGTATATTATTAGAGACAAGGTCGCCATGAACATAAAAATAAAATGCTTTCAGATTTTCGTTTTCTCTGTTAAAAGAGTTCTACTAGCACATATTAATACAGTAAAACCTCGTTAACATACAGTTGCTTAAGAACACTTGGTTAACATAGTCCCCGGGTAGCACACATTTGTCCAACACAGTGGTCTTCATACCGCGGAGGGGGGATTGGGGGGGGGGGGGGGGTCAAGCAGTTTTGAATTGATTGCATTTGTATTTATGATAATCAGTTATATTATTTTTTTTTTCAGTTTAATTATAAATAAAATAAAAAAATATTTTAAAAGCTATTTCTAAAACAAAAAGCCAAGGGCATTTTTTTTAAATAAGCAATTTGTATATCTACAGTTGAAAATCTATTTAATATGGTAACACAGGTATTTGTAGATTTAAAAAAAAAAAACAGATTCTGACCAAAGTATCTCCATACTATCTGTTTCTCTTATTGCTGAATCTGTTGTCATCCTCATTTTAATCACCGTTTGTTATGTTGGGGGGGTGGGGGGGGGTCTTGCCATATACTCAAGGGGTTGGGGGAGGCGCGACCTGAAAAAGGTTGGAGCCCACCGGATTAACACAGACTACATTTTCTGAGCCTTGAATTTGTGTTAATGAGATTTAACTTTGTCACGATAATATATTTTAATCTTTAATGTGTATATATATATATTTTTTTATAATTTACAGAAGCAAATACATGAAAAACTAACCCTGTCACTCCGTGAATGCTTAAAAAAAAAATTGGAACCCGAGTAAATTCCAGAAGGAAAAAAATCCTTAAAATAACAATCTTTTTACACAGTTCAATAATAGAGTAGCTCTGCAACGATCCTCAGCATTCTCCTTAAAAACTGCACTTGTGAACTGTACGGCGCAGCTGTGAATTGAACCCACGACCTTCAGAATGCGAGGCAGATGGCTTGACCACTTTACCAGGGAGACCCCCTGGTCTAGATTACTTAAAGACCTAACATCAGTGGTACTTTCTGTAGTGGAAAATCTTTGACTTAATTTGTAAAATATATTCCTGTTATAACTCCAAAGGACGAACAAGATATGGTTTTGTTATCTTTGGTTTTTTTTTCTCCATTGAAAACTGTAATTATGAACATTATCTGCAGTGTGGTATGTAGTTCATATAATCTTGTTCCTCTTATATCTGATGGTGTCGAGGTGAAGTATAAATAGTAAAATAATGTCCGTGATTTTTGCTATCGTGTGAGGTGGCAGAAAAATGACAGCCTAAGTGTACAGGCACAGCCCATGGTGAAGATGATTCACTTTTTAGACAACAAATTTGTTGCGACACAGCAGTTCAATCCAGTAGAGAAAAAAATAGGGTTTGTAAAAACCATCTAGGCTGCCGATTTTTCTGTTTAACACTTTACATTCATGTGATAAACCTTCATGCTGCAGATGAAGCAATATTAGGCCATGATACACAGTTTTGAAAGCTCTGTCTTAGCCCTTGAAGTGATGCTATAAATCCAGCTGTCTTCTGCACTTTGTTTCCTTAATGAGACCAGATAGCTGTTTTTTTTTTAAATTGTGTCATTATTTTTTTTTGAGGGGGGGGGGGGGGGTATTTTATTTTAAATTTTTTTTGCATGCCTGCCCTCAAAGTGTTTGGCAAGTGGAGAAAAGTGAACTTTTTTCTTCAATATGTATTGACTTTCTATGCAGGGCCAGAAAATTTCTTGAGGCCTCAGAGAAGTGGTTTTACAGAAGAATTCTGGTGTAACACTGGTGTTATGTTGGAATGAAAATCTGTGGCACATTTCATTCTCACCTTTGCACATTGTACAGATGTTGCCAGTTTGTTCTGGTTATTTCACACACTGAAAAAAATATTTCGTCCTTATGTCTATTTTTTTTCCTGTTATCTCTTCTGCCGCCTTAATTTTTTTTTAAAGTCTTTCTTTGTCTCCTTCTTGCTGTATTTGTTTCTCTCTATGGTCTCCTGTTAAAGCCGCTATGATGTAGCAGCTACACCCTCGCTGACTGGTCGTGGGGTCAAAGACTGGTCGTGGGGTCAAAGCTTAATAGAGCCAGATTTTTTCAAAAATGACCTTGGCTCCCAGGTTGACCCAGCATTAAAGGGGTGCCAAGTACAGTCCTGGGAAGTAAAGGTGGCAGTCATGATGTTGACCACATCACCTAGTGCTGATTGGTCTATAAAATACAGGACTAGCCCTATGTGTCTGAAAGAATACTTTTGGGATTTGGAAAAGAGTCCCTTATTATCTCTCATCCTTTGTCATCTCTCTTGCTGTTTAATACCTGGTAATTTATTTATTCATCCAATTTTGACACAAGTTTGCAGCGCCATGTGAGAAAGATAACCTGAGTGATTCCAAAGTGCATCTTCTAGATTCTATTTTTCACATTTTTTTTCAACTGTTTTGTTTTTCTTCTTCTAGATTCTATTTTCACATTTTATTTCAACTGTTTTGTTTTTATTTCTTGAAAATAGACGCCAACAAATGACATATTTAATTAGTCTTTTAGCAGTATTCTTCTTTTGTACATATTTGATGACACTGGCCTTTCGTTGGTGACAATTTATTGAGATTTTATGGAAACTGTGCAATACCACTTGTGTAATGTTCCGCTGTTTTATTTGTAAAAGTACCGTTCACCTGTCTCATGCTGGCATGGTGCAGATGAGAAGGTAACGTTTATTCTATTTTTCATAAACTGTTTTGTTTGATTATTGTTGCCTGTGTGGGTTCTGGGGCTCTGTTTTGAAGAATCGACCCACTGCCTTCCTGACAAGCATGTCCTAGGAGGCGACTTATTAGGTGTGTTTCCTTCAAAGTCAGAGTGCATCTGCCTCAGAGGCAAGGAACCAACAGTCTGCATGCAGATAAGCCAGATCTGTAAAATGGATGTACATGAAAAACTGTTCTGTTTGTAATTGTACGACCAAAGTCTAGATGTGGGCAAACAACCAGCACTTTCTGCTGTAGTTTACAGCCGGTGAATACTAAAAAGGAAGAAGATTAGTGTGTCCAGTTTCATATTTTACATTTCAGATTCTGTAACATTTATTGAAGCAAGTTTGTAACATTCTAAGCTAAACAACAAAAATAAGAGTAATAATTATTGAGCTGGGATACTAGAGATAATAATAATCAGTATTCTCCTGTTTGAGGTCTTTAGTGGGTGTTGTATTTTCTGTAGCATTAATTCCTTTCTTTCCTTTAAAGGTCCACCTCCTAGTGTGGTCCTGTGCTGCTCCTCTTTGGTGCATGTCAGAAGTGGGGTGGCTATCTTTAAACTTGTTATGATGTCACAGTGTTCAACTGCAAGCATGCATATGTTTAACACTCTTGACCTTCTTAACCACAATATTGACAGGCTATGAGACTGGCGTGGTTATTGTAATTTCTATCACACTTTCATAGTTTCCATTTAAAGGCCCCTTTATATGAAAGTGAGGGCATGCAGTGCTATGTTTTGTAGTGATTGATACCTTTGTCTGCACTTATATCCTGCTTTGATGGTCTTTACTATATTCATGATATCACTAAGAAAGCATGTGTTTTTATCTCTAATAATGAAGTATGTTAACTCTTTTAGCATCTGTTAACTTTTTTAGCATCTAGGCAGTTTTTTTTAACGTCTAAATTACCTCTGGGCTTCTAAAAATGTTCTTGTAATAATGATCTTCATTCATTTAATTAAGATATATATTTTCCATGGTAGGCATGGTGTCCGCCCAGAGTGCTAGAGGGTCGATTCAAGCCCTGGTGAGGGCTGGGATTATTTCCACATGTATTTCTAGTAATTTCCTCCTGCTCTCTGGGTAGTAAGACCGGACGCCCATGTGTATTGTTGCGTACATAAAAAATCCTTTGGCAGTTGGAAATCGAAAAGAGTAGCCTAACGGTCCTGTTTGGGCACAGTTTGGAGTTTAAAATCTACTCAAAGTATTTCAGGATCCTCGCCGGTACAACAGAGTTCGTGCACTGCGCTGAGATTCTGTAGACTCGGGCTTGAGTTAGAAATAGAACGGAGCACTTATGGGGTACACCCATGTGCCATGATGTTAATCCATTGCATAAACATATTATCTCCATGTGGTTTCGTAGTCATATTCTTGTATAATTAGTGCAACTTGTTACTTACAGCCTTATTTCTTTACCTGTGTGATTATTCCACCATACAAATACATGATCATAAAAGAACTGAGGCACGCAATTTACTGATAATTACCATTCTCCATCAGTAAATTTAAAGTTAAAGAACAAGTAATAACTTATATTTTACCAAGTTGTTGTTTGTTTGTTTTTTTAAATAAAAAAAAATACATTTTAAAACAAATAAACTGAAATTGTAACCTTTGTCTGCATAACGCAAAAAAAAAAATGGGATTTATAGATGGAGAAAAGTCATGTTATATTGAAAGGTTGTTATCTCATTGTTTTATTATACTATTTAATCTTTTGCCTTAATTTTTATAAAGTAAATGAGAATGCCTTATTGAGTGCCTAATCCTTGCTCTTTGAGAAGTTTATTTGTCATTTGGCATGAGTTATGTTCTGCAATGCTGCAGATAATTTAATTAACTTTGTCATCATGAGAAAGTCATTTTTCCGACATTTATGGGTTTTTGTTGACTTGAAGTCTTTGGCAAGTAGCAGTTTTTCCTCTGTCGGTTTGAACTCATGGAAAAACTGACTACACACATCAGAAGTTAAACATTCACATTCCTGAAGCTTGTCATGAGCAGTTTTTTCTTCTTTGCGTTCAGTTTCCTATGCTCAGATCAGACCATCAGGTGGGTTGCTTCTGTAAACTCGCATGTTCACTGCAGTTTAAATCTGGGTTTCT